CCACAGCCTCCCTGGGCAGCCTGTTCCAGGGCTCTGTCATTTCCAGCAGCGCTGCTGGCTGCCCAGCGCTTTGGGTACAAACCTGCCCTCCTCGTGTAGAAAGTGGCCGTGATTTGCTCTGCCCTGGCACTAGGATACACTGCCCTGGTGCCCGTCGCTTCTTGTGCTGATGGTTAAGGCTTCCCCAGTGCAGTTTGGCTGGTGTAAACACCCACCCACGTGCATGCGAAATCTAGATGACAATGGTGTTAAATCTCACTGCTGTCCTACTTTTGCAGGCAGCGTCTTAGTCTGGATTAGTCAATTATCTAATGCCGTTCTCGCTGGTGTCACGCTGCCGCGGAACATTTGGAGCCTGTTTACAGGCCTCGGCCCTCGCTTTGGGCCCTGGAGGAATTTTGGCAGGAAGAGCCTTGATGGGGAGGAGTAAGAAGGACTGGAGAGGAGCTTCCTTGGGGCCTGCAGAAAGATGTGGAGTGGCACAGGAAGGATGCTGGAAGGAAAGGAGGGCCTGGCTTTGTGTGATGGGAAGAACGATGGTTTAGAAGAGTGGATTTTTTTTTTCCCCTCCTTTAATTCCCATGCTTTTCAGTGTAGTCTTCCTGATTCCCRTGTTTGGGATTTCAGCAGTTTCTCTCTTGGCCTCAGCGCGAGACTTCCAGTAATTGCAGGGAGCTTTGGGGAAGGCTTTTCACAAGGAATTTAGAGCTCAGCTGTTCTGGTGGGCGAGCAGCACGTTCTGCTGCTTTGAGCTCGTGCCAGGGCATGCGTGACACGGGCTGAGCTCGGCAGGAAACGCGGAGCCTCGGCACGCTGCGGATACAGGTATCCTGCTGCACGCACCCGTGGAGCACCGCGGAGCGCCGGGAAAAGCGGGATCTGCGGCAGCAGAGCATGGATGTGGCCACGGCTGCGGAGGCTGAGGAACAAAGCTCCAAGCCTAGAGCTTGGCYGCTGCTTTGGGGCTCCGCTTGGTTTTGCGGTGGTGTCTGGAAGTGCGGCTGATACCTCTGGCTCCTTCTCCTTGCAAATCGCAGCCCGAATCCTCCAGGGCAGAGTGGGGACTCGCTGCAGATGTGGATGTTGCTGCCCTGACCCGAAAGCAGAGCTGCTGCTGCTGGCACTCAAAGACAGCAGTTCCGGAGAGGAATTACTGTCCTTCTCCCTTCCCACCCCAGAGGAAGTGGAATTTCAGCAAAGTAGTGAGGATTTTTGTTTGTTTTTCAACAACTTGCAGCTCCCATCAGTTTCTGGGAGTTCCCCAGACTAGTTTGAGGATTCTCTCTCCTTGATTTTCCTGAAATAACTTTAATGTATGGTAGTGTCAGTCCTGTTCAGCAGCAAGTTCAGTTCAGCCTGGTGACTTGCGATCCGCTTTTTTTTCTGACAGTCTGATCCTATTTGTTTACAATTGCATTTATCTTTGTTTAGTAGGAATTGGGTGTTGCTGTTGACGTTGTTTATCACTTGGTGTATTTGACTCTTGGCAGTATCAGAAGAAAACGCRAAGAGCAATGTGCTCTCTACTTTTTAAGGAATTATGAGCATTAAAAAATCATATATGTATTCATGTAAAATAAAGAGCAGTAAGATACCACAAGTAGAATAAAAGTAGAATAACACGGAACTGATTAGTGTGGTCTTTTTTTTTAAAGTAAATATAGATATTATCTATATCTGAATTAATTTAATAATTTGTATGCACCTCTTGTGGGGGCTGCAGAGTTTCCTGAGGTCTTTAGAGAGGAGCTGAGAACTGCAACTTATCACTGCCAGATTTCCTCTTCCTGTGCAGACATGGCTTTTGGCTGATGCACTGCCAAGTACGTACAAGTTGTCAACATATTTTTAATTTTAGGGGTCACTCAAAAACTCCATTTCTCAGCTGGGAAAAGAATTTATGGAGGCCATTCCACGCCATAAGGATCCATCACAAGAGCCCTTTCAGCATTTCTGTTYAGAGCCTTTGCAAAGAGGCTGCTGAAATATTAATAGCGCTCGGCTTTGTGAGCCATCACATTGCAGTAGCACACTCTGTCTCTCCTTTCCCCGTTCCCCAAACACATGTGGTTTAGATGTCTCTCAATATATTTTAATATAAAGTGGCTGGTTGAGTGGCCCATCTTCCATATTCTCCCAAAGGAGCTAAAACTCACTTAATGGATCAAGAAAATACAGGGCTGCAGAGACATTTTGCTATTCAGACGTGCGTAGAAAAGGATGATTTAAGATGTTCTGTTGCCTTGGGAAAAAAGAAAAAAAAATGTTTTAAGATTTGCACCCAAACTGGTGATTGAAAAGCTTGAAATGTCTGATTTAATGCAACAACTCTAGTTTTCCAGTGTTGCTCTGTTTCCTGGAGATGCTCATGCACATTTAATGGGTTGCTGTGCAGCTCCGTGGTACCTGCTTGCAGGGCTTGCCATGAAATTAAGAGCGAGCGAGAGATCGTTTATTTAATAGATAGCATTAAAGAATGGCTTTCTGATGAAGCAAGTTAGGTGTTAAACACTTTTCAGGTGAACCATTTACTTATGTAATTATCTCTYATTTACATTATAATAAATGTTTCTCTAGGGAGTTGAGCCAATCATAAAATGCAATTAATTTTCAAATGCTCTTCAGCAACACCTAATGCTCCAGAGGCTGAAATGCTTGGTCAGCATGTCTGTTTTTAAGCCYTCCTGCTAAAGGGAAGCTATTTTGGCTCCTTTCCCCAAGCTGTTAAGTTTTAGTCGTGKTTTTTAGCAGTGTCTCATACGGGCCTGTTGCTAGAAATCTGAAGTGCTGCGTTTGATACCGTTGGGGGTTTAGATCTCGTGGCTTCCTTTGCTTCCAGAGCATTAAAGGGATTTTAGGGCACTGATCCTCACRTTAGGCCCAGGAGACTCTGGGTCCCTTGGTGAAGATGCAGGAGTTCAAGGGCYCTCGGGCTCCCTTCTGGCTCTGGTTACCCCATGTTATCAGACAGGCCCCTTAGCCCGTGTTACAGTTTCTTTGTAGGTAAAATGGGAGCAGTGTAAGGTTCACCTCCCTAAGATATACATGGAGATGTATGGATGAAAAGCACTAGAAGGCAACTGTATGATCATGCTGCTTGAGTTTCCTTCGTTTGCTAAATGTTGATACGGTCACTTTTGCTTTAAGTTATTAGCCTGTGGATAAGATAAAATGTTCTGCACAGCTCCGTCTTGTACAGCTGTGCTAGGTCCAGCAGCACAGAGTTTTTCAGCACTGATCAATGATTAGCACGGTGGYGGTCAGCTTTCCGTTGGGTAGTTGCTGTGGTTGGAGTACAGGTTTCCCATGTATCCAGCTTTTTAAAAATGAAAAGGAAATGGTGACATTAGGTATAAGAGCGGGCCAGCCTGTTTCTGAACGTGGGTTAGAAATTTGGTGATGTTGGGCACTAGGCTTCGGAGCAGGKCCTGGCATTGCAGGGGACAGATGGACTCAGGCTGGACGCGGCTTAGAGTCATCCCTGGGAGCTCTCCACGGATCCGGCGCCGGGCAGCGGAACCTGCAAGTCCCACGTGCTTGAGGGCTGAAGAGGAGGCAGAGCTTTCATCCCTTCACACCTGCAGAAATCCTGTTCAGGAACCTCTTCTTGCCAGGGAGATGCTCTCCTCAAAGCGGCGACCGAAACCACTTTGGTTGAACTGATGCGTTTTCCTCAGGCTTTGTCTTTAGCTAGGCTAAAAATGAGAGGATTTTTTTATTTACRGGTGCTATTTTTAGACTGAGTCTAGCATGCTGTTATCTGCTAATACATCTTGAGGCATCAGACATCTTTTATTTAGAAACAAGATAGAAAGATTGTCTGCTCTTGGAGTGAATACCTGAGGAATTCCTTATATTCTGCTTTGCTGCTGTGGAGCCGTCTTGGAATACGGAGCTCAAAACGAGGCCGTGTTTGCTATTGCATCATCCCGGTGCTTCCAGGAAAGCACCTGCACTTTCATTGTGACCGACAAATTTTCTTGTTCACCATTTAAACCTATCTACAAACACRAAAAAGACCAGACTGTGTCTCGCTGTGGGAGGCAGTTGCCCCCGTGTGCCTGCTCAGCGCCGTCTCTGAGAAGCTCCAACCCCATGGGGCTCGGATCCAATCTGCTCCAGCTGTTTTTACCTTCCCTATATRTAGGACAACCAGCGGGTTTCAGGCAATGTGGGTTTTGTAAGCACCTATACCCAGATCGCAGTCCCATCGCTATATCGGTCTAAATCATTTTGTAATCCTCTTCAATCTGGGTTTAGGGCCTGTTATTAGTGTCGCAAATAAGAGCCTGTGACTTCTTTAGTTGCTGGGATAAAAAAAGGGCATACACGTTTTGGAGAAGCCATTGGGCCATTTTTGGTAAATAAAAACTCAAACATCCACAGTGTGAGAGTAGATATCTCAGTTTTCACGTCTGTCCTGAATTCAGAGGATCACGGGAGAGAGCGGGATGGGTGAAGGAGAAGYCAAGACGAACCATGAGGGTAAGGGGTAAAATAATAATTTTTGCAATATTTTCCCTTTCAGTAACTTGAAACATGGCAAATGCAGCATGACTATAAGGAAGTGTGTGTGTGTTTTGTGTGTTTTTTTGTTTCTTTTTTCTTTTTTTTTTTTTTTTTTAACCTGAGCCTCTTTAGGGGATGAAACCCTTTTTTTTCCCCCCATACATGTCTCCTATTTTGTGACAAATCTCCAAGTCCTGTGTTACCTGTTTTCTCACAATCTCACTAAGCTTCCCGTGACCTGCTTTGAATGATATCGAAGGACCACTAGCAAGTGATTTTTAGCTGCCTTTCGCTTGGATGTTTGGGTTAACTGGCCTGGCAACCAATAACTTCCCCTTGCAGAAAACCAGCAGCTCCCAGTCCCGGTCACCGAGAGCAGAGGCTGGCATGGGAAAGATGCTTGGTTTGGCGAGGGCTCTGCAGGGAAAGGGGATATTTGTATATGGGATATATCTCATCCCTTCTCTCGGCTCTCTGCCCGCAGGTACCTGAAGGAGTTTCGCACGGAGCAGTGCCCTCTCTTTGTGCAGCACAAGTGCACCCAGCACCGGCCCTACACTTGCTTCCACTGGCACTTTGTCAACCAGCGTCGTCGCCGCTCCATCCGCCGCCGGGATGGTACCTTCAACTACAGCCCTGACATTTACTGTACCAAGTATGATGAGACCACAGGCATCTGCCCAGAAGGAGATGAGTAAGTGAAGAGTGAACCCTGCTTCTCAGGCGGGCGGCTTTGGGGATCAGTGCAGGTCACGATTCCAGCCAGTTCTTGTAGCGATGAGGCAAGTCAGCAGTGAAGCAGCTTGGTAACGTATGTGACATGAGAACACATGTACAAATTGTAACAGCAACCCCCTGTTTTGTAAGCCTGCTGCAGAGAGGATACTGAGTGAGGAACTGGGCTCTCACATCTCTGTGTCCTCTCGAGCCTGGCCATCTTCAGCAAAGTTGTGGTGAGGAAAGCAAATAGAAAAAAAAAATTACTGGCAAATGCACTGAGGCTACGTTCCTGTAAGTCTCTGACCATCAAATAATAGCTCTGGCTTCCTAACAGGGTAGCTTGATTTTTTTTTGAGCTGATTGCTRAGAGGAGAAGCTTTGTCCTCCAATCTGTCCCTTGAATTATCCATCCCACGCTTTTTAAATCATGTTGTTTATTTCTCTGTTTATTTTGTCATTTCCTTCCTTCCTTCCTTAAAAGCTCGGGAAGGCAGATAACYAGAATAAGGCCAGAAGAGCCAGTTTCGCTGCCTATTCCCTCCCAGTCTCTATGAACTTATGAACAGGAGCAGAGAAGCAGATGTTTCTGTCACGTATGTTACAACTGTCAGCAATTAGAGGGTTAACACAGTAATATAACATGAGCCACATGACAGATATGGMAAAATAAATAGTGTAACCATACTGTGGTCAAATATAGAGGCTGTTTTATGTAGGGATGCTATAGAAGGATGGAATTTCAGTTCCCTTTTACAGGGACAGTGCAAACGCACACAGAAAAAGAAGTTCTTTATCTGTAAAGCTGTTTTTTTTTTTCTTGATTAAGTTAAGATTTTTGTGGTTACAGCAGAATGGAATAATCCTCCAGCCTAAGGCCTCTGGTTTGTACTTTTTTTTTTCTTTTTTTTTTTCCTTCATTAAAAGAGAACTGGAAGGGCCAGGAAATGGGATGTTAGGAGATTTTTGGCTCCTAGACCACTCGTTCATATTTGGCTCAGACTCTGTAAGTGAAAACTGTTGCTATCTCAGAACATTTTCAACGCTTTATATTTTTAGCTCAATGCTACGATATATAAACTCCATTTCATCTTTTCTTTTATATTCGTGGTGTAAATTRTTCTTTTCCTACCTAAGAGGGAAAGCAAGCCATCAGTTAAAATAGWAGTGTTGTAATTCTCCTTTCTTGTCCCATGCTCTGCATAAAGGATGCCTCTGCCTATAGATAGGCTGTCACAGCCCTGTTAAAGAGCACATCAGCAGGAAACAGTAACAGCACGAAGCCTAGATGGGCTGCTGAGGAGATGGTAGGTGCCATGTGATGTCCCCTCAATCATGGCTAGTATATCAGAACGCCTTGACAGTGTCCTTGCTCCTCTCCAGATCCCTGGCAGTCACTAGACTAGAATAATAAGCTGCTGCTGGCTTAACCATCCGGTTGTCTGTTTGGGAGGGAAGCTGTTATATAGTGTGCACTGGCAGGTGTAGGGTTCTCTAATGCTGGAAGGCACAGCCCAAGAGAAGGGGCAGAGCTGGCCAAGGTACAGCCACAGCATCCTGTGTTGGCAGAGTGCGAGTCCATCACTCCTGTGACCAAACTTTGGCTCTTCTTCCCCTCCTTCTGCGCTTCAGGTGTCCGTTCTTGCACAGAACCACGGGGGACACGGAGAGGCGATACCACTTGCGCTACTACAAGACTGGAATCTGCATCCATGAGACGGACTCCAAGGGAAACTGCACCAAGAACGGAGTCCACTGCGCCTTTGCTCACGGGCCCCATGACCTGCGCTCTCCGGTTTATGATATCAGGTTAGCAACTGTCAGGGCTCTGTGTGGAAAGGGTAATTGCTAGGCTCAAATGGAAAGGCAGGTGATTGAAGGAGAGCACCACTTCACAGTGAAGTGCTTCGTGCTGGGGTGATGATAATATATCTCTTTCTGACAAAGCCAATCTACAGCATCTCCAAGGAGGATAATCAAAAGTTGGGGAAAGGAGCCTCACCTTAAAATAGTTGTGCTGTGACTAGGAACCTGGTAGGGTCAAAATGATGAATCTGGAATTCTGTGGGAAGGAAAGCATGCATTGCAGGTGCTGGTTGAATAAGGATGGTGTTGCAAAAAAAAGCCTGAATGAACTGACATAGGAATTGCTACTGCGCTCCAGTTTATTGCAGTTTTATCCATATTTATTTGCTTTTTCATCTTCTCTCTGTTGTTCATTGGACTGTCTCCTTGAAGGGAGCTTCAGGCCATGGAAGCTTTGCAGAATGGTCAGACTACATCAGAAGGTGGCATAGAGGGCCAGTCTGCAGTCGCTGCTAGCCATGCAATGATAGAGAAAATACTCAGTGAGGAGCCAAGGTGGCAAGGTGAGTCCCTCGAGCTCTGCAGGGCTGGGGAGGTCTGGTGTTCATGCAGTGCTTGCTCCCATCAAATGCTTTTGTGTAATAAAGATGGATCACAGTGATCTYCCGCTAACCCATTGCTTCTTTCACAGATACAACATACGTGTTGGGAAATTACAAGACAGAGCAATGTAAGAAACCCCCTCGTCTCTGTCGCCAGGGTTATGCCTGTCCCTACTACCACAATAGCAAAGATAGAAGAAGAAGCCCAAGAAAACACAAATACAGGTACCCTGCTCCTGGGTCTTCTGTTTCCCAGCTGAGTGGTGAGGATTTCAGGTTGTCTGTAAGGAAGAATCTAGTATTTGCTCCACTCAGTAGTTTTTAGTGCATCTTTCAGGCCTATACTGACAGACCTGAGGGACTGTTATTCCAGCTTASGAACACTAAGTTGGGAGTTTTGCACTACCAAAGAACCAACATCTCTGCTAACTATGCTGCCAAATCACATTACATTTCTGGTTTTACAATGAACAGAACCCGTGTCTAATTTCCCTGCTTACTTCATAACCTCCTGTTTTTTTTTTTTTAAACAAGAAGGGCAAGGAAAAGAAAAGAAGGATTTATTTCCCAYCTAGAAACAAACTCACACAGCAAGGCTTTCATGGGTAAAGGATTCAGAATCAACAACTTGTTTGTGTGTGCCTGGTGATGGGCATTGTGAGGCACAGTGTGATGAGTGCTGTAGCTGGACATGCATTCCTGACCACCTGCTAAAGCTTTGCCTTTGAGGCACCAGGGTGTTCTTGTCACTCAGCTGTTGCTGGATTTTTCAGCATGCTGCTTCTCCCTCAACACATTTTGTCCAAGTTACAGGCCCTCGTTTCCTCCGACACAACAGAGCTTTTGTTGTGATCTCAGTGGGGCTTTTCCTTAGTTCCTTTCTGGAGAGAGAGAAAAAAAAAGAGAGCACAGACCAGAAAGCTGGGAGAGAAAATATCATGGAGGTTCTTGCTTCCCTTACCCACCCCCAAGACTTGTAGAAATTCTTTAACTGGTGCTGAAATCCTGTAAAAAAAATCGCAGAAACAGGAATCCCAACACCATCAGTAGAAATGGAAACCTTAGGCAAAAGCCATCTGCTTTCTGCCCCTCTTTGGGCCTTCTGAGGAGCGGAGGTGAAGGCCTCTTGCCTTCGGATCTCCATTCACTTCTGTGTTGCTTTTCCCCACCCTCAGCTGATGTGGCTGCCTGCTCAGTGCAGGCTTCTGCTGCTGCTATCTGCTTCCCTCTGCTGTTGTTGGAGGGAATGGGTAAGAGCATAAAGAGCAGGGAAGTAGGTCACAGAAAAAAAAAAATCAGACCTGGGAAACAGAACTGGTTCCCAGCTGGGAGAAAGGAAATGGGTTTGCCTTTTCCCCAGTGACCTGACTCAGCCTCTTTTCCACATGGCCACCCTATAACCCTGGAAACACAGCAGTGTAAGGGTATTATGTGTTTCGGGATTAGCCAATTAACTTATTAGCTTTCTATGAATGTACAGTTCCAAAACAGAAAACAGACCCAGCATCTCTGACGCTAATCACATCAGTGGCTAATATGGTTAAGCTAGGGTGGTTCAAGTTGTATTCTGTTTCACATGGAGAGTTGAACCATGTCCTTTTCATTAGGAAACTGGAGGAGAGGGTGGGAAGGAGGCAGTAGCAGCAGGACGGAGGCTGGGGAAGCAGCAGCCAGGCAAACAGTGCAAAGCAAAGGGGGGCAAACGAACCCGGCTGCCAACCGAGGAAGCAAAGCTCAAAAAACATGTCTGATGCCTTCCACTGCTGCCTTATTTGAACAGATCTTCACCGTGTCCAAGTGTGAAGCATGGAGATGAGTGGGGAGATCCCAGTAAGTGCGAGAATGGAGACTCATGCCAATACTGCCACACTCGCACAGAACAGCAATTCCACCCGGAGGTACAGTAACCTGTGTGGTCTGTTTACTAGAAAAGCAAAAGCATTCCAGCCGTATGAGATCTGTTTGTCTAGGAGAATATATGGGCTGCTTGCAGTTTTGTGGTGCTGGGATACAGAGAACCTGCATGTTGGAAGTAATCGGAAGCTGAGCTGCTTGATGGGGGCCCTTTTCTTTAGGTAGAACTTGAGGGAGGAGATAAGAACAGTATGGGGAGCAAACAATTGTAGGAGAGTGGACTCGTGTTGAGGTCCTTTAAAAGCAAGGAGTGGGTCTGCAGATGAGCATACAACATCTTTATTCATTAAAAACACTTTTGGTTGATGAAAATCACACCAAGCCACAGATACCCATGAACTAAAAGCCACCCAGCTGCTAATGTGAGCAGACCCGGAGCATCTTGGTAACCTTACAGAGAGTGTGATTTGGACCTTGTCCTAGTCTGCTTCAAGTTATAGCGTTGAAAACTTCCTTGGGGCTGTAGTCACCGTCTGTCAAACTGGGGGAAGGGGAATAATCCATTTCCTACAATCGCTTTCAACATTTGTCACTACTACAGCTTTCTGTGCTGTCAGTTATCAACTCTTTACTATCTTGCAACATTTTTATATCCATGTTGCTGCTAGGGAGGTGGAGGGATTTTGTGACAAATGGTGACTTTTGGGTGAGCTCAGCAGTTTGGGGCAAATTTTGCTGTCTTCATAGCTGTTGTGGGTTTTGTTTTCTTCAAAGCAACAAATTGAAATGGTCACCCTGAAATCCACTGGCCTTTTGCCCGTGTTTCTGTCTTACTGTTGAGACTCTTCTAAGTACTCCTGATACCTGGGCTGCTGGTCAGTGGTTTTCCTGTTCATGTCTGTTTTATTTTTTTTCCCATCCTCAGATCTACAAATCCACCAAGTGCAATGACATGCAGCAGTCTGGCAGCTGTCCCCGAGGACCCTTCTGTGCCTTTGCACATGTAGAACGTACGTGGTCACTTCTGTCATCTTTCAGGAATGTTTGAGCTGTGGAGGGCTTCTGGCTGGGGTAGATAACATGAAAGCTCTACTTGGTGCCCTTCAGCCTGCCTGGTTTTTGAAAACCCTTCAACTTTGATTATTCCTATGGAAATGCTATTTTGGGAGCTGTTATCAGAGCTGAAGGCAGTAGGTGTTTTGTAGGGCTGAGCCCTTAGTTCTTGTTTCATTGTTTCTTGAAGCATCTCTCCCGTCTCTCACTCGCTCAACTCTCTGCATATCAGAGCTGGGAAGGTTTATGACACAAAATGAGAGCTACTTCTGTAGAACTTGGACTGTGACGTAGCTAAATTGCAAAGTGTTGTCTTATGAAATGCTGAGGGTAAAATTGCTAGCTGCTACAGACAAGGTGCTCATTTTACTATTTTTATTGTTTTACTTGAAACATAAATCCATAAGGAGCCTGGCGAAGAAAAATAGGCTACTTTTTGTCTACTTCTCAAATCTTCATTCCATTTTCACTAGCTGTCTAATATATAGCAAGTTATTTCAATTTCGGTGTTTGTTTTCATCATCTGTAAACTAATGTTGCTATTTTGTCATGAGAATTCTGCATTCGGGTGTCTATCACCATTTGCAGATAATAGTTAACTCCCAGTCCTCCTACTTCTACTCAGTTTCTGCACTCTGCCCTCAGTGTAGAATTGGCAGGAATTAGAGCAGGTTGGTTGTTAAGTCACTAGATGGGCTCTGAAACTGACTCACTTCACAGCCTTGAGCACATCTCACTGCTATTTGATTATCCTTGGTAAATGAGGGGATTAGTAACTGCTGCTTTTGTCAAGGAATGGTGAGAGTAAATCCACTACTATTTACGGAGTTGCTTTTATAGGAAGCGGTAATTATAGTGAGGGCTGTGGGCTATAACACCCAAAACACAGTACTGCAACCTCACTATGTGATCCAGCTTGAGAGAGAATGAGGWCTTAGTAAAGAAACAGTGTTCAACAAAATCCCTTCAGTATAACATAGTATTTTTGTTTAGGAGRTGCTTTATTCATAACCTAGATTACTGTACTCAATAATGTATTTCTTTAAAGCCATAGTAACCACTTAGTGCTCCRTGATGGTTATTTCTTGTGGCTTTCTAGAGAGCTCTGTCTTCTGGTCCTCCTCTCAAACACTGAGGGCTTAACTGACTTAAAATAACAAGAGTCCACTTATTTTATGTGATCTCAGCATGACTTTTGCTGATTACTGACCAGAAACATATAGAAATTTAAAACTGGAATCAGTACTTTTAAGATATTGCAATATAGGCATTAGGTTTGTCCTCTAGCTTTTATAAAGAGTCTCTAGCTTTTTATAAAGAGTTATATTAGATGTAAATATTATAGCCGTACAGCATTTACGCTCCCCTCCCCAAGCTCATGACATTTTCTTTTTGTGTATTTGGCACTTGCATGCCTTTCTCCTGTTTGTTACTTTTTCTGTAATGGTTTGTACCGGGAGCAGATGGAAACTTTGCTTCCTCAGCTAATTATAACACACCCATCAGCTTTGTGCCTAGCAAAGAAGGAAGCTCTGCTCAGTTCAGGACAGCTGAATGAACACGCAATTCACTCAGGAAAGATAATTTTGGAACAACATTAACAAGCTGAAGAGCAGCAGATTGTACAAATGGTGATGGTAGTAATGTGAGGAATATCAGCTAAGAAGTATTCATTTGCCAGAGAAGATTTTTCCTTATTTTTGTTACTTTGTTATTACTTGTAAGTAGGCGTCAGTGGAATATTTCATCTCTCGAGTATCTAGTTGTTCTTGTTCCTAAATATCCTGCAGTCCCTTGCAATCGTACAGCTTTGAATGGTGTTTCACGTGCTTTTATTTCTTGCAGAGCCTCCTCTCACTGAAGATTTACAGCAATCCTCGGCGGTGTCGAGCCCGACGCAGCCGGGCCCTGTCATGTACATGCCCTCAGCAGCCGGGGATTCTGTTCCAGTGAGCCCTTCCAGCCCACACGCCCCAGACCTGAGCAATGTAGGTAGCACTGCAGGGAAGCCCTGTCCCTCCTTTACAAATCTGCATTTCTCTCAGTCTTTGTTTTTCTTCTGCCCTACATGAGAAATCTAAAAGCACAAAGGACTTGACTCCCGTGTTAAGGCTCAGCTCCACTTTTTAGAGGAGTCTGCTTGCAGTATATGCCATAATGTACTGTAGTATTCAGTGATTTTGGTCCCTAGTACTGTGCCCTCACCTATATAATTCCTAAGCCTTCCTTTTGGAGCAGAATTTGTTGATACACTTCCAGGAAAGTGGAAAGCATCTGTACATGTAGTTCAGCCCCTTGTCTGAAGGTACATACTGGGCCCAGCTTCCAAGCACTCTCATTAAATGRGCAAATACAATCTAAAGTACATACAGACAATTGAGTTTGTTTACATAYGTAATCTCAGAGGCTTATCCTGTGTGTATTGTGTGCTACATTATAGGATATCCTTGATTCCTTCCCTGTCCTCCTCCTGGAGGTGGTTAAAGTCTGCAATATGTTTAAGCCCCAAAGCATTAGTAGGTACTTTATTTTAGTTGTATAAACAAGAACATTTTGAACTGCTAAACAGCTACGCAAAGGTTAGATGTATGTGGAATGCTGGGCTATTTGATTTTTGCTAAGTTGTTTTTTTGTTAATTATGATGTAGCCTTTTCTTATTTGCYTTGTTGTTGAAACATGCAATATTTCAAAATAGCTGATTGAGATGTTGAGAAGATAAAATGACATGACCTTAACTCATTTGAAACCAGTCTAGATGAGGTAAACTCGTTCAGGACTTCCATTGTATCCTGTTAGTTCCCATTGAAAAGGAAAACTGCAGTTTTGACCTACTAGCACCAAAGCCAACTTAACAGTTAATAATTCTCCTGGAGTTAATTGCAACTAGATTTCTTAATAGATCTTGAAAAGACTAGATGTGTTATTTTCTCTCAGTAAATAACACCGTGGAATGAAGTAAAACAGCAACAACCAAAACCCTTCACTTCAGGATTATGTCATCTAAATGCTCGGAAAAATTGCAAGGACTTTTTGCACTTAATAGACTGTTCCTTCTCTCTCTCTCAAGCTCTTTAGTCTTTTAAACAGTCCCTCCTAATCTTTGAATATAAGCCAAGTGGCAGCACATTTCTTTCTGTGACTTCATCGCTACACAGGGCATCTGCATGTAGCTTGCAAACAAATATGGCTTTGCTGGTGATCATTTTACATGATTAATTAATCAAAGGAGAAGGTCCCTCTGGCAGCAAAGCCTCACGTGGCCTGTTCTGTTTTGTATTTATACTGTAGGTGTGGAATAAAACAGGAACTCTGCCAACTAGCCCCACCTCCACCACAGTGAGTAGTAACTTTGCCACTGTAGGGAAGCGCGGACAGCAGAATGTCTGTATAAAAATAAAAGCAAAACATTGTAGGATGCTCCCAGCATGCTCCCTCTTTCTAATGCCAGACCAGACTGTGCTACGTTTGAATCTGTCATAGCAATAACAGTTTAAATGTTGTTTGAAGCATAGTCGTTCTTGCCAATGCTGGCAAATAATTTCTCTCCCAGAGAAATGAGATATCGCTGTAATCCAGACTGGTTCTTTCCTTAAAACTTACCTGAAATCTCCTTTGATGCTGTCTGTGGCTTCATCTACAGTGCAAAACTAGCCTTGTTGCATGTGGTTATGATCCCTGGTTACGATCCAAAGAATAGAATGGTTTAAAATCCTTCTGGTATTTTTTTAATGCAGTTTTAGATGCTTTCCTGTGCTTGCATTAAAACTTCCAACTCCAAAGAAAAAAGGCTRTAATGTTATATGTGGCTCAGATGTGCTTGATGCTGACTGCCACGAGACCTTGCCAGGTTTCACACTGCATCTCAGAGTCCATAGGATCCACATCATGCTGTAGCTTAAGGACGGGCATGTTTGGGAGCATGATCAGTCACATCCGAGGCCTCAGAAAGAGTGAATGTCTGTGGAGCTGTAGTTTAGCTTTTAAAAATCTGTACTCCAGTACAAAACAATGACACTAAAGCCATAAGTGTGGGACCGCATAAACCCCATAGCTTCTGCTTTTCCTGTTTTTAACTGCTCTTTACTAGAAGCTTGTACACTGGTCTTGACTATCAGTAAAATCAGTGCTCAAACAGTGAAGTGAATGAGCTAGCCCCTGAGACGCCTCTCCTCTTGGAGTCTGTGCTGCTCCCTCCCTGCACTTTCCTGACACTTGTTCCTTCTGTTAGATCCTTTGTAGGAACAGCAGTCTCGGAAGCCCATCTAATATATGTGGATCTCCTCCTGGCGCCATCGGAAAACCCCACAGCTTGGAGAGCATTGGTTTTCCTCCAGACTCAGTAACAGCGGCCGGCAGCTACAAGAAGGCACCTGGGTTTGAGCGAGAAGATCAGGTGGGGGCCGAGTATTTGAAGAGTTTCAAATGCCAGGTTAGTAGGGACCATTGGCTGGAGGAGTCTGAGGGGGGGAGGAGGAAGACTGAGAATTTGCCCAGTCTAGCTTGAATGTATTTCTGTTTTTCTAGGAACGAAAAGGAGAAAGCACCACTCCCATTAGCAGTCATGAGATCTATGGTGTTACTTTCAACTTCTCTCCTAGTCTCTTCTGTCTTGCATCTGTTCTTTTCTGCCTAACTGCTATCACAGTTTGTAAAAGTTGAACTGTCTTTTTTCTCTTTCTTTTTCTCTTCCTCCTAACTCCTGACCACTTCTGTCTTGTGTTCACCTTGTAGTTTCCTGCATATCACTTCTTGCTCTTTCTTTTTTCCGTATTCAAGTCCTTGCCAAGAGCTGCTGGTCTTGCTGTGTTGTGTCATGGAAACTCATCCTTTCCTCTCTGTTCTCACTCTGAACTCTTACCTTGATCCCTGTGACTCTGGTTCTTCTACTGTTTTCACCATTGATTTCTTCAGTTAAGATGCCATGTTAGCCGTCTCTTGCATCTCCCAGCTCCTTGTGTCTCTCCTTTGGCTTCTGTATTAAGCTTAAATTCCTCATTCTTGTTTGAAGAACCTTTGTAATCTTACCCTGACGACACCTGACATTCCCTCTTATCCCTTCTGGATATCCCAGTCATCTTGCCTTTCTGATTTYCCAGTTGTCCCCTTCTCTGTGTAACGCCTTATTCAAACTACTCCCTAAGCCCAGAACAATCTCTTCCATCTCCTTTGCTGTGTGAACTTTTCACAGTGCTAACTTTTTTTTTTTTAGTTAATAGCCTTTCTTGATATTAGAGATATTAGAGCCAATAGTTTCTCCTACCATCCCTTCCAAGTCAACTGTGGCCAAACTACAGTTGGGTCCCTGTTATTGCTTCTAAATGGGTTTTCTTCTTACTTCTAAATAGTTTTTTTTTTTTCTTGGAGAACTTGTAATGTATTTTGTGCAGACACAAATAGCTATTACTTCTTCTAAATTGAGGAGTTGTTCTAAGTTGCTGAAAGCAGAGTTGGCCAGAAATGTTGCTTTCAATTTGACTTCATTTAAACTCCTGTCTGCCATATTAAAGAGATTAGCCCTATTAAGCTTATACTTATGCTGCTTTGTTTGTATTGCACTGCTGTGGGAAAACAGTGGAAATATTCTGCCCAGACAAGATCTTGCAGAAAGTGGTTGAATTCGGAAGCAAACTTTGTGGGACTTGCTTCACTTATTTGTACCTACAACTTTGGGAAAATACCATGCAGAAACTTTGCAGTAGGATCAGCCTTGAACACCATTTGGTCCAATTAGAGTGATTTACTGACAGATAAAGATTATCTTAATATGTGTGTAGGCTGTCTATAAATGCTTCTGTTGTTTTGCTTAATATGAACTTGACTTAGGAAATTACAAATAGAAGCAACAGCTTGCAGGAGAAGCGCAAACCACGCTGGCATCCTGGCGTTCCTGGTGGGCACAGGAGTTGGTAGCAGGTCTTTAGAAATTTAAAAAAAAAAGTGTCTTTGCTGCAAAGGAGGAGAGAACCCAAAACTGGAGGACGAGAGAACCCCTGTTCCCTGCCAGCCAGGCAGGGTGCCAGGGAGGCCCTGCTCGGAGAAACTGGGCAGGGAGCCGAAGCCGAGGAGAAAGGGGATGGAGCATGAATAGGGCTTTTCAAAACAGGGCCAGAGGATGAGCAGTTATGGCTCGGGTTGAGGCTGTGCTGCAAAGATACCGTGTTCAGGTATCTCCTTACTCATGTGGCTTTTAATTAAGTAGAAAAGAGTGCATTAAATGACTGGAATAAATAGCTATCAGGATATAGACAGGTGTAATCACAGTTGCCTTGTGCCAGACTTCTAAGCACAAAATTAGGTCTCTCATAAGTGGCCTGTTTTAAATTTAGTTTTAATCTATAATTACTTTTTTTTCCTCCATCTTTAATTCCCTTTGGCTGCAGCAAGCACCAGAGATTCTCCTATACCCATTAAATTAGCCTAATAATTAGGCACCTCGCCTCACCACTCCTGTGAAAATACTGGAGACTCCTACTCAGCTTTGCAAATAGGGCTGTAAAGTTTCACAATAGAAATAGTTTCTATCTATTAGAATGAGAGAGGCCGCTTCTGTGTTAACAGGTTCCATGTAGCTTTGTGATAAGTCTGAGCTGGTAGTTAAGGCTAAAAATGCTTTTTTGAAGTCTCAAAAGCTGTAGCAAGCTGGAAAGAGCCACARCCAGGAGGAGTTACCAAGTCTGCACCCAAGATACACTAGCTTTATCCCACACTAGCCATACAATATTCAGTTTCATCCATAATTTACTCTTGTTTTTTTCTTCCCCTGACTGCAGCAGGGTGAATTGGAGAATTTCCATGTACGCTTTGTATCTGTGTTGATATTTACCCTTCATGTTCAGAGTTAAGGAGACTGCCTTGGAGGGAGGAATCAGTTTGCTCCTTTTTGCACTGATATTACGTGGATTTGAGGACTAGCCCAGAAGGGGAAGGGGCTAAGGAGCTGTTTTGTTTTCCTTTTCCTCCCTTTTTATGGCTTTCAGCAGGGTTTAGCGGCACTGGTGCCAGCCACGCTGGCAGGGTGCCTCTGGGCGGGCGCCGCTGCTGTAGCTGCTGACGTCTGATAGCACATCTTGTGTTGGGCCGCGCGGCGAGCAGGGAGGGACGTGCTGGGTGATCCAGCGGCTGGGTTATCACACGCGCACAGATGCRCTCACGGGACACATCTGCCGCGCACACTGAACAGACGAGCTTGGCGCCGGCTCTGCCGCACGGGCACACACGGAGCGCCGGCAAGTGGCACCCACTCATGTTGGGAGGGACCTCTAGAGATCAGCTAGGCCACCCCGCCTGCCCGAGCAGGGACACGCAGAGCACGGGGCACAGGGTGGCAGCGGCTGCATCTCCACCACTTACTGGCCTTCACCCCCGCCTCCATCCCGTATCTCCCCATAGTGCACAGCTAAATAGAGAAAATGATTTAATTAAATAAAACAAGGGATCAGTTGTGCAGCTGCACACTTGTCTGTCTGAATATATGGTCCCTCTTGAGCTATATTTGGTATTTTTTGTAAGATGGCTTAAGCCAAAGAGTCGAGGCACATGCCTTCTGCGCTGGCTCGTGTGCTGCAGTTGTACCTGGTGCAGCCCTCCTGTGCCAATGCGGCGCCTGCCCATGTTAGAAATGCCAGGGCAGACCTTCTGCACCGGGACTGCTTCTCCAGTTAGGCTGGCCTGGGCAGGAGAGGTGTAAATAAGCCAACCTGACTCATGGCAGGCACTTTGTGTGCCCGCGGGGAGTGATTTATCTCCCCTTTCCCTCTGTCTCGGATGCAGTAGCTGGAGAGAAATAAGGTCTTCGGACCAGACCGTTACACGGTGACAAGCCCTTGGGGCCACTTCCTTCCCAAGTCTGGTTTCTGTAGCTGAGAACTGTCTGTGGCTTGAGGCAAGAGCGCTGGAATCCGTTAAGGACTCAGCACAGGAAGGTCCTTAAACTTAATTGTTATGCTRGGTAGTAAAACTCTTAAGTATGTGCTGGCATTTGTGCAGTTTTGAAATTCCAGCCAGSCTTGACCTCACTTATGTTCTGTAGCATTGAGCTACAAGGATGTGGGAGACTACTTTTTTTTTAATGCTTTGATTTTTTTCTTCTAAGATTGCCATTAAGAAAAACTAAAGCATAGCTAATTAAAAAGAAAATTGCGAGTTTTGTCCTGATTCTTCCTCATACTTTTTTTATTCTTGAGGCTGTTTGTTCCCTTCTTCTATAGCTTATGCAGTTCTAGTTGGAAGCTTAAAAAAAAAGCTGGAAGAAAAATAACCAGCATATTTTATTTTCCCRAAGTTGGAAAAAAGAAAAATAACTTACACCTGCCTATATGTATATGTGTATGTATAGCGTGTGCCTCTCTCTGATTCTGACTTTAATAGGTGCTGATAGGGTTCATAAGTTATTTGCATCCAGGCAAAACAGTTCAGTTTTGGTCACGGTTCTTAAGATGTCCTTTGTGTTAGCAGGAGACTAGCAGCATTGAAGGCAGATGTGATTGTGACAAATCTTTGCATAACTTTAAGGGGGATGTCTTGATGTATAGAAAGCCAATTGCTTGGGATGTTCCGAATTTGCTGTGCTCTCCTGCTCTCCGAGTTCTCTAGTGTGCAGGGCAAGCTGCAGGAGAGGAGACCAGTGTTTCCTGTGGCTGCTCCAAAGCCAGCAGTTGGCCATTTTAGATTTTGCTGCTAATSAAAATTAAATTTGATTTCTGTTCTTCTTTGCACTTCCTGCAGCAAGCGAAAATGAAATCCCATTCACTGGAACACAGGAGCCAGGAGCAACCGTTGTTACAGCCCAAACAGGTAAGGCACAGCCAGGAGGGCTCTGAGCCTGCCTGGGTGCTCAGCACTCTATCCAGGGATACTAGAAAACTCTGTGGATCCAGGCAGCTCTGTCAGGAAAAATGACAGTTTAGACACTGTTGGGGATGCTCAACTTTATGAAGGTGGGATGGGGACTAGATGGGTTATTGGTAAATGGTTATGCTTGCACAAATTCAAGATAAATTCACAAGTCCGACCAGTGTCAGAGAGAGTCTCCACATTACAAAAGATAGAGCTGAGATGGATCTCTAGAGTCATCTAAGTTCAAGGATCCAACAAAGACAATTTAATATCACGCTCTAAATCATTTTAGTTTTGAGCTAAGTCTAAGTGAGTGATTGTATGGCCCTTGCCTATGATTGCATGCAGCCTGTGGGTCACGAGAGTTAATTCTGMGGCATTCTGAAGGATCTCTGTAATACTGAAAAGAAACAGTTGGCAGAAATTAAAGAAAAGCTGTTAATCTGTCCCCCACCCCCAGCCCAGTGGCAGCACCAGCCATCTGTCAGGTTGGAAGCGGGCAGGAACAGACAGGTTTGCTGCTGATCTTTGGCTCGTTCCTGCGTGTGTCTTGGGAATGTAGAAATCCCATAGAAAATAGGGTTTTTCTGTAGAGCTGTTTCATTTCTTACCCATTTCCCTTTTAAAACTGTCTTTTTTCAGGACATATTAGGGATTCTCCCCGTGGGGAGCCCACTGACATCCAGCATCTCCTCCAGTATCACCTCCAGTCTGGCTGCAACACCACCAAGCCCTGCTGGCACCAGCAGCATACCAGGAATGAATGCCAATGCCCTCCCTTTCTACCCAACCAGTGACACTGTTGAATCTGTCATAGGTAACTCTGCCTTTTTTACTTATGCTAACAGGGCTTCCTCAGATACAGATCTCCAGTCTGAGAACTGGAATCATGTGGATGTCACAGTGAATTCCAGCTTGTTGTGGGTTTGAGTGTTGGCTGATTCTTGAAGCCACAGGCTTCAAGACTCTTACCTGTGACTGTTACCGTATTTGACATTTTCTGTGGGACATTACGGATGAAATGAACCCAGAGGACCAACAAGAAGGCCAGTGTGCCCCTTATTGTGCATTCAGAGGGTCAGATGCTATGAAGAGCCATGAGCTTATGTTTGTTAGAGTGGCAAAAAGGGTTTGGAGCAGGCATGAAACCCTCTGGGAGGTTTCTGGCAATTTTATAGTAAGGACGACCACGAGGTAGCTGCAAAGACTTGCTCTTCACAGGGTGTGGGACAGAGGCTGTGAGGAAAAAGAATAGGAGACTCTGGAGAGAAGAATTACTCCTTTTAGATRGGTGCAATTTTTTTGGTAACCTGATCTGATGTTTCTGGGGTGAAGTCATTACACTGATTAAAAATAATAGTAGCGATGAGTCGGCCTGCGTGGGATGAAGTTATATTGATGAGGATTAGTGAAGAGACACGTTCAGATAGTTAATAACGTTTGCAGGTATTGCATAAGCTTCTTTATTTTGCCTTTGGACCTCAGAAGTGGTATTTAGCAGTGTTCCCTTCTGCTGGTATTSCTTTCCTGAGTGGCTCTTCAGCAAAATAATGGCAAAGCATCAGCCAGCTCCAGACACTTCATAGGGCAGTGTTCTTGTGTRTTATAGACAGCCTCAAAAGAGCAGTTTGGGGAAGATTTGTGGGGACCACTGTTATTTCATCAGTTCTTTATGCTAACATTTGGGAATACTTTGAGGCAAAACCTTGGAAAGTCAGATCAGGCAGAAGAACCTGAACTGAAAAGCTGCCCGTGGTGCTTCTGTCAAATCGTACTATGGCAGTTGCACAGGATGGAGAATAAGGCTGTGCAGAGTGACAGGTAGTGAGCAGAGGCTCCTCTGTGTGCAGGCTCTTTGGGCCGTCCTGTCTCTTGAAGTTGTTGGTCCTTTATAACATAATTGGTCCCTCTGTGTCTGGCAGAGTCTGCCTTGGATGACCTGGACCTGAATGAATTCGGAGTGGCTGCCCTGGAGAAGACATTTGACAGCAGCACGGTGCCCCACACAAGTGGCATCATGATAGGTACATGAAAGCAACAGAGCTTTCCTTATCTTCTGCCAAGCAGTGTTGTCTAGTCACCTAAATGGAGCCAGCCCAGTAGAGCTCTAAATTGAACCTCCAAATAAACTTGCTTAGTTAAAACAGCGATTGTAACAAACTCTGGCAACCACTGAGCATCTTCCAAGTGCAAATGTTCCCTTGCTGACAAGCAGAGCTGAGTTCTTGCCAYTAGGCCCAGATATCTTGGGGATGTTTCTTGAGACTGAATGGGACTTGCTTGATTTCTTGTGTTTTATTTTATTTTTAGTGTGCAAGTAGAATCTAGAAGGCATCTGATGGCTTTTAAAACCAGGCCAAAGTGTAACAATTTGCATTGTAAGCAGAAAATTCTCCCTAATGCTGACAGGAAGCTCACTGACCTGGGACTGCTGTCCATCTGTCACAGGGCATCATCACAGTCTGCTGATTTGCAGCATGTGTTAACCTGGAGGTTCTGCCCTTAACAGGCAGAATTTAGGCCTCTTTTACCTGTCTTTAGTGAACATCCAGGGGAAAAGCAAAGCCCCTTGTAGCTTTTTGGAAGTGATTGGAGTTTCTGACTACCCTGGCTCTGAGAGACAGGTTTTCAATGGGAGCTGACACTGGTTGTCTTAGTCGTTGCCAAGGGAACTCCTGCTAGACATTGTATTGCAGTATGAAAGGTGTTCTGTGAAAGGAGCACTTAAAAGAATATCACTTCCATTTCCCTGCCAAAGATCAGCAACCTCATCAGGGAGTTTGTTGTGTGTTTATGCTGATAGCCCTGCTTATACCACTTCTGTCTGCAGTGGCTTAGAGGGAAGAGCAGTGTGGACACTCAGTTGCCTCCACATCTGGATGTTAACYGGTAGCCTTCTGAGAAGGGAGATGGGAAGAGTGGAGAGCAGAGCTGAGATCCCTGTACGGGGCAGGCAGACTGACCTCTTGTGTAAGGGAAGGGAAATGCTCTTGGAGGTTGGTSCAGGATGTGGGTTTATTTTTATTTATTTTCTCTCTCGTTTGTTTATTACTGGTAGATTCAAGCTATTGAGTATGCCTAAAGGTAGTCTTTTTTTTTTTTATTTTCTTCCATAGTTATGGTCATGACTTGACCTTACATAGAACATGGTAGTTTCTTTCACTATGGGTTATTTGGAGGTATTGTAGGCAGAGGAGATGTTTGAGAAGTGAAATTTGCCTCACAAAATCATTCCTAAAATATCAAATACAGCTTCTGGACAGTGAGGGCCTGAACTCCGCTCAGAAAACCTTTAATTGCTTTGACCAATAACCAAATAGACCATTGAATAGTGGCGGGTCTCTTTGCCTGTGCCTAATGGGATGGCAGCTTCAGTGCTCTGTTAAAGGAGGGTTAAACACAAGGACAAGTGGAAGGAGTCCCGGGGGTTTAGGGAGGAGAGAAGGAAGCCGAGACCTCCTGCTCTGCGCTCCTGTGCTGTGCTCTGGCCCACCCCTCATGGTCATACATAGCCATCCTCTCTGTGTGTTCTTTGTCCAGGTGGGAGTTTGCTGCAAAGTTCTGCTCCTGTAAATATCCCCGGGTCCCTTGGAAGCTCTGCCTCCTTTCACTCTGCCTCTCCTTCTCCACCGGTCAGCCTCTCATCGCATTTCCTCCATCAACCCCAGGGACACTTAAGCCAATCAGAAAACACGTTCCTGGGGACATCAGCTTCTCATGGATCATTAGGTAAATGCACAGTGTGTGTCTCCCATGTACATGCCTGTCTGTGTCATGTAAGTATTTTCTTTTAAGCTAACTTCRATTTTAATGTATTATTTCACTGCTGCCATTGATACCTCTTGTGAGAACAGCAACMGTGCTGGAAGCTGTTTCACCAATAATCAGCCTTGAGAGCAAGGGAGCAGCTCCCTCTGTGCTCTWTTTTATAGACTGAGGAAACAGTGGCAGATAGGTTATAAGTTGCTCTGATAATGACTCTGAGGGGAAAAAAGAGCTCAGCCYCTTCTGCTTCCAGTGCTGTACTGTGATTTCTTGATACTCAGCTTTGGATCTTGAGCTCAGCTTAATTGAGCTGGGAATTACAATGTGCCATTGAGAATGCTCGTAGGCTAGACTGGCTTGAGAGGAGACCTGTTTGGTGCCCTGCACAGATTGCTCTGCAGTGTGGGCTTAGCAAAAAAAAGATTAGAGTGCTCCAGCTATGTCCCTTTTACCTCTTTCTTTCCTATTTGAGGGACTGTTTCTTCTACAAGGGGCCATAAAGCAGCTGGAAATGGGTATGGAGCTTCCTCAGTACAAAGCTGGCAGACCTGGGAGCTGAGGGACCACGTCTGTCTTCCTGTCAAGATGCAGGGTTACCTTGAGAGAGAAAATTGTTCATGCTCAAGGCACGAGTAACACTTGMTCTGCCCGTTTCTGCATTAGTGACATAAACAAGTTCTCTCTTTCTGTACTAGAAGTAAATGCCTCTTCAAATTTTAGGTATGCTTTAATCTGTACTGTGCAGTCTAACACAATAAAATGATTRCATGCTTCTGTAACCTATTGTTCCATGCACTTATCTGTGTGATTATATCCCTTGTTTGCACAGGACAAAGCCATGCTTCCATGCTTTGCAGTTGCTATTTGTTTGGCTTTAACAACTTTTACAATCACGGGTATAAGAAACGAGACATCAGAAGAAATCTCTGCTATTAATTAGGGTTGAGGCTGGCTGGATCATCCCGGTTTCAGTAAGAAAAGGAAAACTTCTTAAAAAAGCCTTGTTTTCATTTCAGAAACAAATTCAGCGAATTATTAAGCAGTTTACTGCCACTGGCCTCAGTGAGAGGCCATGTGCCTCAGGGCCTGCTTACAGACACAGTCAGTTTGGCTTCTCTGAGATGAGTTTCTAACTTCATTAGGCTAATTTGACTTATCAAATTCGACTGGATTTAGGCAYGTCTGCGCCCTGTAGTTAACAGCTTTTTAAATGAAAATGACTCTTCTCTTAAACCAGCCTGTCTGTGTGCAAAAGAGTCCACATGACTCTGTCGCTCTTTCTGGATAGGAGCTTTTCCTATCAGTTGTCCCTCAAGTACAGGATGTGTGTGTTTATGTCAGGTAAATATATCTTATTAAAAGAGCACATGCTTTAGGTTCAGTTGGTAACAAATAGGCAGTTTTATTTACCATAGATTTATACTGCTTTGTGTCCTGAGCTTTGAAGTTGGTTCTGAGGATGGAAATGATTTGAACATGCTGAACTGGGGAAAGGATTGATTAGTCTTCCTCCAGCCCCAGTCACTTTGGGCTGAGACTCAGCACAGAATGAAGCTGGTGTTTCCACTACCTCCAGTTCCTTTCAAACAGGGTTTTCCAGTTAGTTCTGATTTTTCCATGTGCAAATAGCACTTTATACATTGGAGCACTTTAGACTGGCTTTCTGGGAAGTGAGAGCTGAACGACCAAGCTGAAGAGATAAAAGCAAAATGATGTAAAGGCCTAAAACTAGCGTTATTTGTGTGGAAACACTACCTGAGTTGTCCATATGAGCCAAAACCCACTCTGTTCATCAACACTAATGTCTCTGCTGCACAGAGGAAAGGTAGTAAGCAATTCAGACATTCTCATATAAGAAGAGGAGTTTGAGTTGCTGGTCAAATTAGCTGTAACACAGGTGCTTCTCAAGCCAACGTGGTTCACAAGAAACTCTGCTGAGTTTCTTGGTCACTCACTGAATTAAAAAAGAGGAGGCCTGAAGGTGTGTGACTTTCCATCTGAAGTCTCCCAGTGATGGACTCCTGGGTCGTGGGCTTGAAAATGATTCTTAAGGTAGTTTTCTCTTTCTGCAATACACACATTTTGAATTCTGGATGTCATGGGGAGGAAGGAAATGGGGAAAATGCCAGCTCCTTTGACATAACCCTTTCTATTTCCCTGTGAAACAGGTTTAAATGGGATGAACAGCAGCATATGGGAACACTTTGCTTCGGGGAGTTTTTCGCCCAGTACCTCACCTGCATTTCTGTCAGGTCCAGGTGCTGCGGAGCTGGCACGGCTACGACAAGAACTGGATGAAGCCAACAGCACAATAAAGCAGTGGGAAGAGTCGTGGAAACAAGCCAAACAGGTACCTGGGCAGCTCCAGGAAAAGGGACTGGGGAGGGTGTCAGCCTTTTAAACAGCAGGCTTTGCAGATGTTGAGATGTGTGAAGGGTTATAGGCTTTATAAAACAGATTTTCTTAAGCATTCTTGTTCACCTCCTGCCTTTGGGAAAGAAAGAGTCAATGTACTGGACATTCATAATGCTGGCAGTSTAAGGCCAGGTGTCCTGGCATCTGCATGGAAGTGCTTGGGAGTCTCTTAGACCTTAAGTCAATTTAAGATTGACTTAAATCTCTGGCAATTTATCAGTGTGCAAAATTAATTCTCTTAACTGAGTGAGCCAAATATGTAGGAGTGCAGATCCACTTGGATAGGTTATCCAGAATGTGCAGCCTTTTGAAGAAAAGGTTCCAAGGCCCTTTCAGAATTGGGGACCAGAGCAGATGGGACAGAGTATGTTCCTGCTGAATAGTGTATGGATATGCATATTTCTGCCTAGAATAATCTCTTTCATGCTGACCAGGTTTTCAAACAAAATTCTTATTTTGTGCTCTTTGCTGGGATTTGCAGGCCTGTGATGCTTGGAAAAAGGAGGCAGAGGAAGCAAATGATCGCGCCAACACGGCTAACATGGAATGCGAACTGGCTCGTGAACAGAGGGAAGCCTTGGAGCTGCAAGTGAAGAAGCTGCAGGAGGAGCTGGAGAGGATCCATGCAGGCCAGGACCCTCAATTTCTGCGCTCTTTCTCTGACCTGGAAACTCTGTCACTATCTTCACTTTATACACTTCAGAAGCAGCTGCGGGCAAACTTGGAGAAAGTTGATAAGGTGAGTGCAGGGGATCACAGGGTAGAGCCTTGTTGCTGCTGCTTCCACAGATATCAAACCCTCTCTTTGTATGTTTTTAATGTTTGTATTTTGTGTGTGTATGTGTGTGTGTGTATAAAAATGTGTGCTTGTGTGTGTATGTTCACATAAATAAAATGCACAGAGAGCTGCAAGGCCTTCCCCGCTCCCCAAACTTGGTAGTACAGGAGGGGAGCGCTTTTGCTTTGTGACTTTGCTTATGTTTTGCCCTGTCTCCCTGTCTTGCAGGTGGTATTTCAGATGCAGTCAGTGAAATGCCTTAAGTGTCAGGACAAGAACCGCGTGGTGCTCCCGTGCCAACATGCTGTGCTGTGTGAAACGTGCGCCGAGCAGGACGAGTGCCCCATCTGCCACCCCAACAGGCCCCATCCTCTCCAGTCGTGACCTTCCAAGGACACTTGGTCTAATCATATCGTATAGAACTTTTTAACTTTATACATGCGTACATATATATGTATGTGTACATATATATATGTATGTGTATATATATATATGTATATATGAGTGTGTGTATGTGCATGTTTGTGTATGTATATATGCGCACACACACACGCACATACACACATAAAACAAATTAGTTGCAGAGCACTTTTTAATATTTTACAACCCGCATCTAAACTGCCCCTCACCCGTGCCCCACTAATTCTAACTCTTGAGGAACTTTGAGAGCTGTTTTTAATACAGATCAAAGGGCCGTTTGCAAAGAGTCTGTGTTTTTCCTCTTTTCTATTTAGGTGATAACAAATTTTTTGACTATTTCCAGAAGGATTTTGAGTGGGCAAGAGGGGCTTCCATGTGCTTTCCAGAGGAAGAGTTGAGATCACAGGGAGGAATGAGGTGGATTGAAATGACTTGTTCATGTCTTCAGTCTCCTTGCTCTTTCAYGGACCCAGCTTGGTTAAAGCTCTCCTCTTTGATGGAAGCTGCACTGGGTCCCTGCCTGGTGGGGCTCATGTTGCCAGTCTCTGAATGTGCAGGAACTTTGACTGTCGTTTAAACAGCAAAGTTCACTTTTTAAAAGTTTGTCTTTCTTCTTTTTACACACACTTTGTATATTTGTATGAAAACAAGAAAAGGGAAAAAAAAATATTTTGGACCTAGAGCAAACCAGGCCCAACAATTCAGTGACATGTTCATTGTTGATCAAGCTGGGATGTTCCAGATTTGAGCAGCCTTAGAAGTATTGCCCTTGTGTCAACTAAAGCCATTTATGAAAGGAATATTGATGCACAGGTTAGTTCTCTCCAGCACCCCCATACCTGGTGGCTGTCTAGAGACTTTTTACTGCTTCAGACCAGATTACAGTTTTCTTTTAGTCACAGACACCTGTGGCTTTCATAGTCACTGCTGAACCACATGGAATAGAGTCAGGTAATCTGAGGACACCTTAGTTGAACAGGCTTGATGTTGACTCCTCAAGGGTGGCTTGTGGACTACAGGGTCCCAAAGCCCTCGTGTCAGTAATAGTGATGACAGAGAAAAGCCCAGCACGGACCAAACTGCTGATAAATCTATTCTTGCTTGGAAGTGGAGGAGTGTCCATTCCTTGCTTTGCAGTGCTCCTCAGTGGAGATGCTTCTTCCCGACCTCAGCTGCTGCTCGCTGTGACATAAAACATGCTACATATTAACACCTTCCACTTAGAAACACAGCCATTATTCTTATTTATATACATAAGTATTGCTGATGGAGAAATCTTAAAGCTAATTTGTCAGATCATAYACTGTGGCAGTGTTTCATGCGTTAACTTGCTTCCTGAGAAAAGAGAACTAGAAAGGACAAGGACTTTAATTTCAAAAGCTTATTAAAAATCCATAACTCATCAGCTTCATGGGCCGGGCTGTGCAGGTCCTGGTGAGCTGTAACAGTCCGGCTCTCCGTTGGAGCRGGCTCCAGTGCTGTCTTGCTTCCAGGAATGCCAAACTCATCCCAGCAGCGAGGCAAGAAGTGGTTCCAAGCAGAAGAAATGAGCTTCCTTCTCCACAGTGCGAGAGAAACATTGCAGGGTTTCCTGAGTGTGGCACTTTGCAGCACCCCGTGCAGCTCCTGCAGCTCTCGCTGACCTGCTGAGTGGGTTCTGCCCGTAAGCACCCTCTGCAAAGGAGCTCGGGGGCCTTCCCTTCCATGGGATCTTTTTCTTACTTGTCCACAACRCATTTCCTACCTTAGAGCATTTCAGAAAGGCCAAGAAGGAGCGAATCCCTCGGTCTAGTCCTGTACCAGCCACACTTGTCCAGTGCAGTTCCTCCCCAGGGAAAAGAAACATCACCAGCTTAGACCTAGCTAGTAACGGAGCTTCCCTGTGACTTTCTTCACCAGCATTTCCATGGGCTTTTGCATCAGGTGGATTGCAGTAACCTGCTGGGATCTCAACCGAAAGGCCGCTCAAGTGACTCAATGTTATTTTGCGCAGGATGCTGCCTGTGCTGTCCTTCCCTGACCTGGAAAAGCACTGGAACCKCCAGCCGCCCGCTGTTGTTGTAGGAACAAGTGAACTGTTACCAGAGTCTTTCAGAAAGCTTCATATTTAATGCAAAGACATAATTAGATTTGCTTCCATAATTCCGCCTTTCCTTTGCATGGAAGGGGTTATATGCATTCCCAGATGATCTCTTAAAGTGCAGCTCTGTGTAGTTCTTTTTTTATGTCTTTCCCATTAACTTGTTTTTTTCTTTT